CGTTGAAATAACAGGTAACAGGAATTGTACAGCCTTAAATACATCTGGATCCCCACGCTAGGTAGCAGATACCAAGGAGGAGAAGGATAGCAAACACTAGAAAACACCACCTCGAACCAGGAAAGGCAATTTCAAGCACCTTTAAATGTAAAATGAAAAAAACACTGCAAGGAATTTTAACTTGTGAGCCATTCCCCGGGGAATTTAAAGTTGGCAAAACATCTTTCCAGCTTTTAAAACTGCAGCTTTCTTAACGCAAGACACTGCGCCCAGAACAAGTCAGCTTTTCAGACTACAAGGTGATGCACACAAGACAAGATAGTAACTTGAGTGCAACTGCCAATTTTGTCCTGTTCATATGGAACACGGACATGCAGAAGAGAGCCACAACCAGTAATAAACCTGGGCAGAATCTGTGATAATTACCAAAGCAAGCAAAACCATAAACCATGTTTTAATAAAAAAAAAAAAAAAAAAGCAGAAAAATATGAATGAAACTCTTCTGTCAGAAAAATTTATTATGTGGCCAAAAAAAGCCCAAATTTCACAATTAGGAAGAGGAAAACTTTCGGTAAAAGCTCATCCTGGGTTCAGTGAGAAAGTCTGTGAGCAAGAAGAAACAATTTAAAAAAAAAAAAACAAAACAAACCCAAAACCGGAAACATAACACATGGAGAAGGGGAAGGCCAGACAGCAACCAACATAAATTAGACATTGTAAAATCGAGAAAACTGTTAAGGGAAGCTTTGCAGCTGGCAAAACTACCGGTAATGGGAAAGGGATCCTGGATCTTTCATTCCTTTCTTTGAATAAAAACCAAAGAAATCTTACTAACAGTACTGTTCCATTCTAGATAAAAACGCTGAAAATGCTAGTGACGCAGAACAGGGGAAATCAGTCAACAAATACTTCCAATTCCATATTCAGAAAGAAACAGGATGTGGCAGTCATACGAAAATAGCAACTTCTATCCAGTACCTTAGTATCAAAGTGGGAGATTTGACAACAGCTACTAGGGATGTATATTTTTAAGTCAGCAAAGGAGTCCTAAAAGAGTTCACTAACAAGCTCTCTAGCCCATCGATCCAGATTTTAATTAAACTTCGGATATTAGAGAAATACCTTAAGACATTTATGACAGTATTCCCAAAAGGCAAATGAAATGACTCAATGTCAAAATTATGGAAAAGTTGTTGAGATGAAGAATTTGCGAGTGAAAAATAAAACCTATAATCCAAAGGTTATGCAGATTTTTGTAGGAAAAATAAAGAAAGAAAACCCAAACCCTAATTTATTTCTTAGATGACATCATTATACATTTGGTTTAACAAAGGGGACTGCATAGGTGCAACATACTTAAATTTTTGTAAGGCATTGACCTAGCACCATAAGTCAAAAAGATTTACTGTACATAATCACATACTAAGAGGATTAAGAAATGCCTAGCCTGCGAGTCTCAAAAAGAAGCTAATAAAAACTTGCACTGAACGATGCTTTTCAAGTTAGTGTAGGTCAGATGCAATATAGCATTTTCAACCTGGACCTGAAAGTAAAAAAAAAAATAACAACTGATAGCTTGGGGGTGACAAAACTGGGAGAGTGGTGAGTGACCTGGTCCAGCAGTAAGCCAGGTCCCTTCACGCAAAACCGGACTTGGATACAGCCTCATGTTAAGTATCTAGGAAAGAACTCAGACCAGACCTGTAGAAAAGGGGAGACGCTATCACGGAAAAGCTGAGATTTGGGATGATCTCTAAGGGTCACACCAGACAAGCAGCTAATGTGAGCTCCCGTACAACGCTGCGAGAAAAGGGCAAACGCGATCCTCTGCAGACTTAAGGCAAAGGGCAAGGGGGAACTCGTCCATGGCACTGGGGCTTCAACACTCAATTCCGGAAGGAGCATTTTTACAAGATACTGAAAAATTTGACAAGATGTAGAAAGAAAAGACAAGAATAATTCATGGGCTGGAGGAAATCCCTTACAGGGGAAGATTTAAGTTTGGCTTGTCAAAAAGTGGACTGAGAAGTGACATTACCGTGTTTAAACACCAGTCTGGGGGAAAAAGCCCCATTGTGCTCTAAGGCTCCCTGAAACAGTGCGATGGATTTATCTAGAACTAGCAACTGGAAGCCAAAGCCAAACAGAACCAAAGGAGAAACCGGGCTTAAGTATTTGAACAGTGAGAACACGAAGCCCTCGCAGCAGGCTACCAATGGAAGGGATTCTCTGTGTCCCAGTGCCTCAAAATCAAGCCAATGCATTTTGTCAGCACCTACTTCAAATACATGTTTGTCCTCGGGGCTCAGTACAGGATAAAGGGGTTAAAATGTCACCTGTAAAATGCAGGAGTCGAATCAGACAGCTTCTTCTATCCTAACCTATGGATCTACAAAACACGCCGACTGTTTGCAGCCAACCCTGGTGACTAAAACGCAGAGAAAAAGGTTTCTGCCACAGGCTCCGCGGATGCAGAGGGCAGAGTTTTCCTTGTGCCAACCACAAAGGCTGCCCAAAGGCAGGGATGTGCCTACCCTCGCGCCCGCCCGCACAGCCGCTCGGGATTCACCAGCAGCAAGATGCTCGTGCAAGTGGGTCTGGTGCAGGGGGAAGGAACACACGTCACAGGGGCAGGGTGCTCGCAACAGCACCTTCAAGGAGCCTTTTACACCAATTTATTTCTATACAAGGTGGTTAAAAAAAAAAAAAAAAAAAAGCCCCTATCGGTTGTTGATACAGAAGTCTGGGATTCTATAGGCTTTGGGTGGGTGATTGATTTTAAATCCCAACACATGCTTTTTCCCTTGCCTTCTCATTCTCTTCCGAGTCAGCCTCCATGATCCAAAGAAACTAACAAGTGACACACAAGACTAGTGAGGGGGGGGGGGATGGGGGGGAAGGAGAATCGAAGACGAAGAGAAAGGGAAAAACAAACGAAGAGTGAAAATAAAAATTCGCCAGGATAATGCGTTTTATAAACACAGAGATAGAAACGGTTACAGCAAGGACAGAGCGGGCCGGGGTGGGGAATAGATATTTATATATATATATATATATAAATAGCATCATAAGCACAGCACACACTTGAAAATCCTAAAGTTTCTAAGCTGAGCATACAGAAAGACCAGATTCCACAGGTTTTTTCCTTTCTCTTCCACAGGTTTTTTTTCCTTTCTCTTCCACAATATAAACACTATGGAAAATTTCATAGAGGCATTGAAAATATGACTGTGCTGTACAATCAGTAATTCAGAAAAATCACTGCAGCCTAGGCAGACTGAAGTATACCTTCCTGTTGAAGGTATAGAAAGACCTTTTAGGAAAAAAAAATGCACATAAAAACTTAGTTACACTTCACACATAGGGACAGCCTAAAGTTCTACAGGAATCTTCAATTTTGTTCTTCCCCTGTTTCATCATGTTTCATAATTG